TGCATGCATGGTGGCTGTAGCTTATTGATTGCCAAATATTATGACATTTGAAAATTCTCATTTCTGTGGTTCTGTCAATATCACGGTGCATTTGCTTATAATTTAAAATTGTATAAATGCATGTTTTTTCTCCTTTCCAGTTATCAATCTGTTGCTTGGGGTTTTAAATTTCTGTGCATAATGCGTAAAAGGACTAGAGATAGCAAACGAAATCAGATGAGGCAAGAAGCTCATAGTTTTGCCATTTCAAATGGTATAGAAATCTCTTATGAAAGTGTTTGTCTTGCCGATGATAAACATAAAACCAGAGAAGAAAATGTGTCAGATTCTGACAATTTACTAATTATTGGTTTGAAGAAGAAAAAAGCCCAAGCCAGTTCCAAAATTGCCTCTCCTACTTCCACATGAGAGTTTATGCTCTTTCCTTTTCAATTCATTCATCTCATTAATGTACACATTATATACATAATATTTCATTGTTCACAACTTATTTCCCCACTCAATTTCTCTATATTAAGTGGTAGTTGATTGCATTGAATTTGGGCAAAGTTTCCTTTCTCATAATTGTCTTCAATTATGATTCAATTTTAAAGAAAATTTATCAACTCTTCTTTTAAAATATGATTTTTCTCAAACATCTTTAAGAATGCAATTTGGTTTCAAACCCCGCAGCATGGCGCGGGTGCCTTTGCTAGTTAAGCCTCAATGTAAGTGGCAAATTAAATACACACGAATTGAATATAACTAGGCACCACCAAAGTATAAGTGGGTTGTCTAACAATATAAAACATGTCCAAAACTTTATAGAATACAATATTAATGTCTTTATTAAAAAAAATTATTTTTATACAAGTAATATTGGGGAGAGGGGATTCGATTGAACACATAATCTCAAGTGAATGAATAACTGCTCTTAACTACTAAAGGTACAAGCTCTTTGCTATGCACGTATTAACATTATAATAAGAAACTTTGACTATTATTTTTTTCCCCTACGACATTGCGACGTCATGTAACACCGTCCCATATAGTAGCGTAGGTAGATAGAAGCTTTCACCAAATTAAAGACCATCGGCCCTTCTTCGTTAAAATTAAAAATAATTATAATTATAAAAATAAATATTTATAAAATAAAATAAAATAAAAAAGAAGAAGAAGAAAGACCATCGGTCCTTTTAAATGACTGGGGCCTGCAACTGCAGTTAATTTGTTGTTACATATCGCTCATCATTGTGCAAGTAAACTAGAAGAAAATTCTACCTCAAACTATCTGCATTGAGCTTTTACACAGTCCGCTACCAAATGCAAAACAAGCTTAGAGGTGTGTTTTAATCACTTCCGTATATCTTTTTTTATTTTAAATAGAGAAAAATGGGAGGAAAACAGAGGAAAACATGGGAAAAGAGCTTGCATTGCATGCCTGAGGTTTTCTTTCTTTGGAATGTGCAACTGGATCTAAAGAACCAAAAAGAAAAAAGAAAAAAAAGAAAAAAAAAAGTATGAATGTTAGGTCTGTGTCTCTGTTTGTCTTATTCTTGTCAACCCAAGTACATGTGCTGGGCTGCCCCATTTGTGTTTATAGCGAGGAAGAGAGTAGATAGAATATATTTATTCAAGCATTGAGCTTCGTCCTATATATAGCCCATCATCGAGCTTTTCTTTTCCACAACAAAAAGAAGAAGAAAAAATCATTGAACCCATCATAGCAGGTGCAAATTCCCTTCCTTTTTTGTTTTTTATTTATTGTTTTTTCATTTGATAGCATTTTCTTGAAGATTTTAGTTTCTTATGTTTCAATGGTAGTTGGGGATTCCGAGCCTCTACATTTAGACATTACGCATTTACCTGTATTTCGTTAAATCTAAGCCATTATAATAATCTAACCCTTTAGAACATGAAACATCATCAAGTTTTTTTCCTTCTCTAAACAAACGTTAACTATTGTTGTTAAACAAATGGTAGTTGGGGATTCCGAGCCTCTACACTGCCTATACTGTATGTAGTGTTAATATGGACAACTTATTTCCCCACTCAATTTCTCTATATTAAGTGGTAGTTGATTGCATTGAATTTGGGCAAAGTTTCCTTTCTCATAATTGTCTTCAATTATGATTCAATTTTAAAGAAAATTTATCAACTCTTCTTTTAAAATATGATTTTTCTCAAACATCTTTAAGAATGCAATTTGGTTTCAAACCCCGCAGCATGGCGCGGGTGCCTTTGCTAGTTAAGCCTCAATGTAAGTGGCAAATTAAATACACACGAATTGAATATAACTAGGCACCACCAAAGTATAAGTGGGTTGTCTAACAATATAAAACATGTCCAAAACTTTATAGAATACAATATTAATGTCTTTATTAAAAAAAATTATTTTTATACAAGTAATATTGGGGAGAGGGGATTCGATTGAACACATAATCTCAAGTGAATGAATAACTGCTCTTAACTACTAAAGGTACAAGCTCTTTGCTATGCACGTATTAACATTATAATAAGAAACTTTGACTATTATTTTTTTCCCCTACGACATTGCGACGTCATGTAACACCGTCCCATATAGTAGCGTAGGTAGATAGAAGCTTTCACCAAATTAAAGACCATCGGCCCTTCTTCGTTAAAATTAAAAATAATTATAATTATAAAAATAAATATTTATAAAATAAAATAAAATAAAAAAGAAGAAGAAGAAAGACCATCGGTCCTTTTAAATGACTGGGGCCTGCAACTGCAGTTAATTTGTTGTTACATATCGCTCATCATTGTGCAAGTAAACTAGAAGAAAATTCTACCTCAAACTATCTGCATTGAGCTTTTACACAGTCCGCTACCAAATGCAAAACAAGCTTAGAGGTGTGTTTTAATCACTTCCGTATATCTTTTTTTATTTTAAATAGAGAAAAATGGGAGGAAAACAGAGGAAAACATGGGAAAAGAGCTTGCATTGCATGCCTGTGGTTTTCTTTCTCTGGTACGTGCAACTGGATCTAAAGAACCAAAAAGAAAAAGAAAAAGAAAAAAAAGAAGTATGAATGTTAGGTCTGTGTCGCTGTTTGTCTTATTCTTGTCAACCCAAGTCCATATGCTGGTCTGCGCCATATGTGTTTGTAGCGAGGAAGAGGGTAGATAGAAGATATTAATTCAATCATGGAGCTTCTTCCTATATATAGCCCATCATTGAGCTTTTCATTTCCACAACAAAAAGAAGAAGAAAAAATCATTGAACCCATCATAGCAGGTGCAAATTCCCTTCCTTTTTTGTTTTTTATTTATTGTTTTTTCATTTGATAGCATTTTCTTGAAGATTTTAGTTTCTTATGTTTCAATGGTAGTTGGGGATTCCGAGCCTCTACATTTAGACATTACGCATTTACCTGTATTTCGTTAAATCTAAGCCATTATAATAATCTAACCCTTTAGAACATGAAACATCATCAAGTTTTTTTCCTTCTCTAAACAAACGTTAACTATTGTTGTTAAACAAATGGTAGTTGGGGATTCCGAGCCTCTACACTGCCTATACTGTATGTAGTGTTAATATGGACAAACTTGCTTGCAAACTTGTAGTTTTCTCTTTGGGCTGTGGAACTGGATCTAAAATCTAAATAATTAAGAATTGACTAAAAAAATAAATTAAAATAATTGAACTTACGTCTGGTTCAGTCTTTTGTCTTATACAAACCCAAGGCCATGCTCTGCGTTTACTTTCAACTCATGTAGATTGTATGCTTTACATGATGGATTAAATATGTTGTTTTGCGTCTTGGTATGTTTCTGGATACATTAATTCTTGATAGTTTGAGGACTTTGATATAAATGAAAGTAGAACCCCCCAACAGCATGCTTTATTATGAGTACAAGTTGAAGTCTATATGGTTACAAGAGAAAACATGATCGGGTTAATTTCAAGCAGTTTTTGTAATCTGTGTTTTTTAGGCAACCCCACCACTAATCCCAAAAACTTCATCTCATCATATATCTAACACCACATGAAGAGGCAGAAATACGTAGGAAGATAATTATACGGGGTGCAACCCGACCAAGCTTATTATACGTAAAGTGCTAAGTGATGATCATGCAGATTTGTGATTCGGAACCCAGGCAATACTATCAGTGGAAAGGAAATGGCAGATGGGAATGGTTCCTGGGCTTAACTCTGAGGATTTGGAAGGCTAAATGCTTTGGGTTCCATTCAGATGTGTCTAGATAGCAGATGGTTACTGCTTTAACCTTCACCCCATCATCGCCTTTCAGGGAGAGAACATAAGCTGCTGTTTGTTTTATTGCATGGCACAAAAACACAGCATAGGGATAGTTCTCCTTATGACACACAACGACTTTGTCACCTGCCAACCTCTTCAGTCCCGGCATTGTTGTATACTTGTGCATGGACATGGTGGCTCCTTTTTCCAATACCTCCGTCGAGATTGCTTGAACGTTTCTTGTTCTAAGCTTCTAAGTGCTAAAATCAACCTTGGATTCTAAAGATGTGGCGCAATATATTTCCTCTCCCTTAATGCCTGGAGCTTCACACTCTTCGATTATTTTCTTAATTGTTTTGGCTTCCACCAATATAGAGCTTAATTACTTCCCACTGCCTCGCTTAAATTCATTTGAGGGAAGTGGCATGATGTGATGTATCAGACATAATTGTGAATATACAATTGTGGGATGTGGGAAAAAGGTACCGAAGGTTTTTGAGATAAAACCTCACAGCTGGATGGTCCATAAAATATATGGTTAATCATAATGAACACAAGTGGTTAAATTTGAGATAATATTGAAAATAATACACAAAAGGTTTTCAATCGAGAGGGGGTGGAGAGCCCACGAGGAGCAATAATTTTAGATCGCCATGTCATCTAAGACTTGAAAACAAAAAAAATATGTCCGTATATAACTAAAGGGTACAATTTCTGCTTTATTAATTTTACTTGATTTTCCGTGGTTCAAAAAATTCCCTATATGTCCCTATATATTTAGAGGTTACCATTATAATAATCTAACCCTTTAGAACATGAAACATCAAGTGTTTTTCCTTCTCTAAACAAACGTTAACTATTGTTGTTAAACAAATGGTAGTTGGGGATTCCGAGCCTCTACAAAATAAATTAAAATAATTGAACTTACGTCTGGTTCAGTCTTTTGTCGTTTACAAACCCAAGGCCATGCTCTGCGTCTACATTCAACTCATGGCCGGCAAAAAGATAAGGTACATAGCTAGAAGACATTAATTCAATCTGGCAAAACTTGTCTCAAACATATAAAACAAAAAAGTAGTTCTATATAGCCCATCATTGATTACACTAAACCCTTATTATTACAAGAAAAATTAGGAGTAAAACAGAGGAAAACATGGGAAAAGAGCTTGCATTGCGTGCCCGAGGTTTTCTTTCTTTGGAATGTGCAACTGGATCTAAAGAACCAAAAAGAAAAAGAAAAAAAACAAGTATGAATGTTAGGTCTGTGTCGCTGTTTGTCTTATTCTTGTCAACCCGAGTCC